TCTGCTCCTCCTTTTCCTCCTCCCTTGGCTGCTTCTGCTCCTCTCATTAATTCCTGACTGCAGGACATCCCAGCTGCAGGCAGGCAGATCTGCTCTCTCAGTTCCTCTCCTCTGGCTGCTTCTCCTGTGTCATTTCTTTGCCATAGGATGAGCTCCCAGCCACAAGCAGGCCGTGTTGCACCTCCTGTTCCTTCTCCCCTGGCAGCTTCTGCTCCCTGCTGTCCCTGTGCCCCACGATGTCACTCCGGCACAACATGCAGCTCTGTGCCCCCATCACCTCCCCATCATCTCTTCCCACTCCTCGGGGGTCCGGCGCCTCCTTCCCCAAATCCCGGTGCCTTTCAGCTCCTTTCAGCCCCAGCCACACCTCAGACCTGCGCAGGGCTCTGAGGAGCGGCCCCAAACCATCGCCCCCCATCCCACAGGGTTACTACAAACGCACCCCCGCCTACCTGCCCATCCGCAAGCGGGAGCGGCGCGGCTGCTTTGCGGTGCCCATGGTGCATTCCACCTTCCTGCTGGACCTGAGGAAGGAGGCGGCGCAGCGCCTCGCCTTCTACCCCCCTCACCCCGACTACACCTGGCCCTTCGACGACATCATCGTCTTCTCCTTCTCCTGCAAGCAGGCAGGTGAGCCTCACGCCGGAGCGGAGCAGCGGCTCGGGTTGGGTTTAGAGGCAGTTTCTCATTGTTTTCTTGCTGACTGCAGAGGTGCAGATGTTTGTGTGCAACAAGGAGCCCTATGGATTCCTGCCGGTGCCGCTGCGCTCGCACAGCACGCTGCAGGACGAGAGGGAGAGCTTCATGCACGTCCTGCTGGAGATCATGGGTGGGTGCTGGGCCCGAACCTGAACCCTAACCCTTAACCCTTAACCCTGACCCTGACCCTAACCCTAACCCTAACCCTAGTATCCTAACCCTAACCATTAACCCTAACCCTTACCCTAACCTAAACCCTAACCCTTAACCCTAACATCCTAACCCTAATATCCTAACACAAACCCAAACCCTAACCCTAACACTACCCCTAACCCTAACCCTGCTGGAGATCATGGGTGGGTGCTGGGCCCTAACCCTGACCCTAACCCTAATATCCTAACCCTAACCATTAACCCTAACCCTAAACACTAACCCTAACCCTTAATCCTAACCCTAACCCTAACATCCTAACCCTAATATCCTAACCCTAACCCTTAATCCTAACCCTAACCCTAATATCCTAACCCTAACCCTACCCTAACCCTAATATCCTAACCCTAACCCTACCCTAATTACCCTTAAGCCTAATTAATTACCCTACCCCCAGTGTGGAGGGAGGGCCGCTGACAGGAGGATGGGGAGCTCAGCCCTGAGCACCGATGGGTGCTGGGGTGCTAGGATCGGGGTTTGGGGTTGGGCTCAGGGTTTGGGTTCAGGGTTTGGGGTTTGGGCTCAGGGTTTGGAGTTGGGCTCAAGGTTTGGGGTTGGGGTCAGGGTTTGGGGTTGGGCTCAGGGTTCGGCGTTGGGCTCAGGGTTTGGAGTTGTGTTCAGGATTTAGGGTCAGGGTTTAGGGTTGGGCTCAGGGTTTGGGTTCAGGGTTTGGGGTTGGGCTCAGGGTTTGGGTTCAGGGTTTGGGGTTTGGGCTCAGGGTTTGGGCTTGGGCTCAAGGTTTGGGGTCGGGGTCAGGGTTTGGGGTTGGGCTCAGGGTTTGGGCTCAGGGTTTGGGGTTAGACGCACTGCCGAGGGCCTCGCTGTCCCTCCTCTCGCCCTCTGGCTCTCTGCTACCTCTCCATTTCTCTGCTTTCCCCATGCCAGGCTGCGCTCCCAGCTCCCAGCTCCCAGCTCCCAGCTCCCAGCTCTGGCCGCCACTGTGCTGCTGGAGCCCAGGCTCCCCTTTGCTTTCCGAGCTGCAATCACGCTCCGCTGCCTCATTTTCCACCAGGCCCCCCCAGGTCCTTCTCCGCAGGGCTGCTCTCACTGATTTCTCGCCCCATCCTCCCCTCCTTCGCAGCCTCAGCTCACAAAGTGCCTCTGTTCGCCCCCCCCCCCCCGGCACAAAGGTTCTTTGTGGGAAGGCAGGGCTGCCATTGAACTGCATGAAGCAGTGCCTTTTTCCACCACGGGCCGCTGGGTTCTGCAGCCAGCCCTGCCGAGGCTCAGATGCTTCATTTCCAGTTTTCCTTGGCCGGCTGAGGGCTGGGTTGTTCCACACGTTGCTGCGTGGGCTCCGCTCCAGCCCGCGGGTTTCCTTTCAGACCTGTTTACCAACAGACCAAAAACCTCTGCTGTGGGGTAGAAGAGAAACGTGGGGTGACTAAATGACAGCGCAGTGCCACAAGGCCGCGATCAGCAGTGGCAGCAGCCCCTATCCCTGCTCAGAGTCACAGAACGGCCAGGGTCGGAAGGATGAAGGATGACGGAGCTCCAACCCCCCGCCAATGCAGGGCCACCGACCTCCACGTCTCACAGCAGCCCAGGCTGCCCAGGGCCCCTTCAACGGCCCCGAACGCCTCCAGGGACGGACGGGGCATCGCAGCCCCTCTGTTCAGCCCCTCCCCGCTCTCACAGC